TCGCAATATTGCCACACTTCCGCTGACAGGTTTCCATTCAAGAATTCTATCATTTATGTTGGGTTCTACCAGGACACGAACACCGGCCTAAGCGCGCATAGTGATATGGACACCTGAATAGAGTTGCTTTCACCATCAGAGGTTCAGAGATTCGGAGTCTCGGCATTATGTCGACGAAAGTCGAATTATGTTGAGCCGATTCCTTGCGACATGATCAACTACCCCTTCCCTTTTCCCTTTGAGTGAGAATATATTCTAGTTTCCCACTCTAAATTTCCATTGGCGGTCTGTTCCTGTGGATCTCTTTCTGAAGTGTCGTAATGGCAGCGAATCGTCTGTCTCCTACGTTCAGAACGGGTAGCGAGTCCGTCTGATTTGTACCTTCGTCGTTGTTTTCTCAATCTTCGGCAGACGTTGCCGTGCTTCTGCGCCCCTGGCTTTTAGAAGGCGGTGAGTAGGTTCTGGTCGCCGGCATTTCGAAATCCGCCTCAGTTTTCTCCTACAGCTTGTGCGTCACTTGATAGTCCAGGCGGCGACCTAGCCGGTATAATTTTCGATGATGGAAGTACAATGATGGCAGGTGGCTAAGCTTTACGAAGATTTCATCACCCTCTTTAATTTTTCGCCTTCCTCATCATGGTTTGAACAACCACCGATGGAGTTGCGCTCGTTTAAATTATCGTTTATTTGTACCTGCAGATCATCTGCGTGTACTATTCTTTCAGAGTTAATACTTAAAATTGAACTCAAGGATGAGTAAGCTAAGAAGTGATGTTCGTTTGCGGGTTGTATTTGTAAAATTTTTTATGATCATTAGTTATGTTACTAGTTAAAAGTTTAAACAGAACGAAGAAACGATTAAGAGCAAAAAACAGGTAGTAATTGTCGTGAAGTATCGTTGGCTGTTAAGCCTAATTGGTAAGAGACAGTTGGCAAACTATCTGTTTATGGGTCTAGTAGATTATTTTGACTTTTATACCACAGAGTGTTTATGAGACAATTGAATCTTCATTGTATTTTTGCACAACTCAAATATTCGATCAGGAGTAAGCGCAAGTCTACGAAGACGTTATTGTATGTAGTTGTTGAGGTCTCTGAAGTATAAGCAGATGTCTGTTGAAGAATACGTTTCGAGATGTTTTTCCATGTCATAGTACTTGTGAAGCAGTGCATTTCATTGCCTAATGTACGAATACATATAAATGGATTCATAGGTTCGAACAGTCGATTATTCAAATTGTAGTTTTGATGTACATCATGCGGATGTCGTTCAATGGGCCGCCTATGGTGTCTTTTTTAACGTTTTTATTTTTTAGTTTTTAATTGGCAGCTATGTTTTTTCTACTAATTTTTTGAAGCAATACCGATGATTTTTTTAAGAAGTTAATTTTCAGCTTTAAAAGTGAACGGTTTATGTATGCACAAAGTAAATAACTAAGTAGGCAAGTGTCGACGTTTTTGGTGATTAACCAGTACCGATGTTTCGATTCGTTTCTTAAAGCCTTGTTCAGGGTGATTCGGGTTGACCAGTTGTTGTTTCTGTGATTTGCAGATATTGTGATAATAAGAACTAAAGGTGTGCTTTTTTGTTCATGTTGCTCTATGAGTAGTTTTTCGATATCGGACTTGATAAGGTTTGTCAAATCGGTACAGGGTTGTGCGTGAATAAATAGTTTTATACATTTTCCAGTATGACTATTAACGGAGGAATAAAATACTGCTGTTACTATTCGATGATTAAGTGATTCGCGCTGTTCGTCGCGATTCACTTAATTTTATATACGTGTATTAATTTTGCTTTCAGTCTTTTTCGACCAATATATTGGTGATTTGTTTGTATTTCTGTCAGGACCGAGTGCTTAAATGTCATTCAGAACTTGCATTCTGAAAAGTTTACACATACATAAACTGCGCTATTTGACTTCGTTCAGTGTGAAGTAGTTATATTTTTTTCTTGTTTGCTTTCTGCTGTTCTTTCTTCGGTCATCTGTGGATTTGTTTCTGTTCTTTAACGGTTGAAATTATGCTGGCTAAAATGCATTAGAAATTTAATGATGGTCTTCTACATATTAGAAATGGTAATGCCAGTTTTGCGAATATAATTCGTTTACTTACTTTTGCGTTTATTTATTTGTGTATGTGTGCTTCTGATATTTTAAGTTGAAGAAGTTTACTTCTTGAAAGGGGCCACAGCAAACCCGATTTTTTTGGCAAACGTAAATATATGCCATAGGTAATATATTTATTTTACAGAAGTTCTTCAGTGCTTCGGATTATGGTCGATCCGTCTTAAAGGAACGATGTTACAGTATCTGTCGCTGCGTTTAGGTACAAACTTCACCATGGAGGTCTGAATGACGAAAACTGATCAGGGACTATCCGAAACGGAGAACTTGTGTATAATAAATTTTTTATGCGGCGTAATCCCGTAAAGAACTTATCGAGTTTTGAACTTAAGTCCGCATAAAATAATCCACTGCCGTGTTTAAAGTAACATAACAAAATATACATTACTGGAACAAATTTGAGAGATTTCACAGAATAAATCACGAAGACAGCTGAGTCAAAAGTTAAACAGCACAACGTGCATCTTACATTGAACATGGTCAGGTCATCGTTATCTGAAATATCAGGATCAAGGACCGAGCACTCAGATTAACGATTCTGATGTTTTGGTTTTTCAAAATGACTTATATAATGTTGGTTATTGCGGCGAAGGTCATATTCCTCGTCGCAAGGATATCTACCACTAGAAGCTGCTTTAAGGTGTGATGTTGGGCTCCTTCGCGTCCGAGGCCATTGTTTCCCAGTAGAGAATGATTTTGGATGAGTCTCCGTTCTCTCTCCGGATAGTTCTGTCAAACCACGACAGATGCCGATCCCAGATTTCTTCAGACATCATTCTCAGGCACGTCATTTCCAAGGTCTTTTCATTGTTTATTCGATGGAACCATCACACCTTGGGAATATGCCGCAGGCAGCGCTGCTGAAAAGTGTCCAACATCTTTTCATGTTGCTTTAAAAGGATTGATGTTTCAAGGTGGGATTAAGTAGACGCTGCATTTCAGTATTGTAATCTTTGTTGCTCTCCGGATAGATGGGTCTTGCCACTTTTAGAAAGTCGCCCGAAGTTCACAGATGTCAGTCTTAAGCGCCGCTCTACTTTCATATCGCAGCTTCCATGCTCTTGCCAGTACAGAGCCGTAGTACTTAAAGTTTTTGATCTCTTCGATGTTCGGTTCACCTCGTTCAGTCCTTGGGCCGTTAGTCAGGTCAGGTGCTTCCATGATCTTCGTTTTGGAGAGGTTAACGTCTAGACCTACCGTCGAGACCACCTTACACATTGTCGAGTTAG